TTTTGTTGATATTTTTTGTTGCTCTTCTCTAGACTTTCTCCCATTTGTCTACATCTTTCCTTAAGTGTTGTATCCAGAACTGGACACAATACGTCATTGAAGGCCTTTTCAGTGCTGAGTAGAAAGGAAGAATTACACGTGTCTTGCTTACAACACTCCTAATACAATTGGATCTCCCTGGTCTGGCAACCTTGGGATCTGACTGGTCCTGAACAAGGTCATTGCTAGCCCCCTGCAGCCAGCCTTGGGGCTCTCAAAGGAGGCAGCCAGCCTCCAGATGCTGCTCCCCCCCCCCCTTCCCTTGGCCCCCGGTTTCAGGTTTCCTTCCCAGCTGCCGACCTTGCAGTCGGCCCAGCCACCAAGCTCCACTCTCAGCTACCAGCTCAGCTCTGCTCCCAGCCCAGCTTTGCTCCTGGCTCTGGACAGGCTCCCGGATACTGGCCCAGCCCCTCCCCCGGATGCCAGCCGCTGGACCAGCTCCGCTCCCAGCTGGCCCCTGACTGCCAGCCTTTCTGCCACTGGACTCCTAGCCAGTCCCCACTAGCAGCTGCTAGGGCTCTCTGGTCTGGAAACATCCATGATCTGGCACCAAAGAGGATCAGTTGTACATTCCAGAATTATGTTTTCTTTTTCTGCAACAGCATTACATATGTAGTTTGTGATCCACATGCAAACATTTTTTTAAACAGCATTTTAAAATATTTGCATTGTTTTCAAAGTCTGAAGTGAATCATCTTTTTCAGTTCAGAAGAAGCTTAGGCTAATGAATCTTACTAGACACATCCACAGTATAATTGTTAGTGTTAGAAAACTAATAATATGACATTCATATTTGTCATAGAAAAAAAACTCGAGTTAAAATGTGCTGCTTTAAAGATTTGCAATTTTTTAAAGGGAGAAAGCAGCATTGACATTAAAGCCAAAAGCATGATGAAGTTTAAGATCCTCATTTTATTTTATGTTAAGGATTGTAGCTTAAAGTTGTAAAACTTTGAGCTGTCAACTCTCCAGTGTGCAAACAGATGATAAATCTCAGTCATTACGTACATGTATAACCATGTGACCTTAACCTTGCCCTTTCTAATATTTCCCCTTCTCTCCTTCATTGGTGAAAATCACTTTAAATTACAAACGAGTAGTTCTGTGGCACCTTAAAGACTAATACATTTGTTTGGGCATAAGCTTTCATGTGCCAGACTGTTTTTCTGAAACAGATTAACACAACTACACTTTTGAAACTTGTCAGTTTAAACTATAAACTTCATGGCATGGCCATGTCTTCCTATATGTTTTAGAATATAAGACTAGCCAGGGCTCGACAAATAATGCAATCTACTCGCCCGTGGTGAGTAGATTGCAACCCAGAAGAGCCGCTGTCATCGGACAGCGCGGCTAGCGAGCCCTGAGAATAGCCATGCTCAACCATATGGTCCATCTAATACTGTCTCCTGTCTCCAAACAGTGGCCAGCAACAGTTATTACTGAGTAAGGTGCAGGAAAACATATAGAAGGCAGAGTATTCCTTAACTGTCTACAAGGAAAGGTTTCTTTCTAATTTTCAGTACCTAGAGGTTGATTTATGTCCTAAAGCAGGAAGATTTATAATATCTTTCAAAACTTGTTTTAAATAAAGATTTGCTATTGTAACTATAAATATTCTTATCTATATACATGTCCAATCTTATTTAATCCTGTTAAGTTTTTGGCAGGCAGTATCACAGGCAATATCACAATCTTACAGGCAAATCATATAAGAAAATTTTTATTTTTCAGTTTTAGCTTTGCTCCTTCTCACTTTCATTGAACGATTCCTTGTTTTGTGTTATGAGAGGAGATAAATAGTAACTTATCTATCTATTCAGTACCATTAATTTGTATATCTCTTATCTTGTTTACTCTTAATTACCTTTCTGTGGAAATGCAAGAGATAGACAGTAGGCTGTATCTGGTCTGCCAAGTCACTGGATCCAAACAGTGAGCAGTTGGAGCCGCTTTAAAGGCTTGCTGCTCTATGCTCTGGACTCTGGGGTGGAAGGAGGGAGGCTTCACGTGCTGTCCCTGCCCCCCAGCAAAATCTCTCAGCTCCTATTGGCCAGTTTCCGACCAATAGGAGCTGGGAAATTTTGCTAGGGGCAGGGGCAACATGTGAAGCCTTCCTCTCTCCCTCCCCCCTGCCCATTACAGAATCACATGGAACAGCCGGTGACTGCAACTCAAGTTCCTGCAGGGCTGCTGGCTGGGAGCTGCCTAGATAAGCACTTCCCAGCCAGAATATACCTCTGGAACCCCCCTATCTGCCCCAGCCCACCACCCAAACCCTCTCTACCTCTTTTCCCCCTCCTCCCAGGTCAACTCTCTCCCAGATTCTGCACCCCCTCATACACTCCTCCTCCAGGCCAGAATCCTTTCCTGAACCCATGCCCCCTCCCTGACTCTGAATCCCATTCCTCTACCCCAGATCGCAAGCCCTCCTTCACTCAAATTCCCTCTTAGATTCCATACCCACTCCTGCACTCAAATCCCTTACCTCAAGCTCTCTTCTGCCCCCAACCATAGAATCATAGGGCTGGAAGATACGTCAGGAGGTCATCAAGTCCTGCCCCCTGCCCAAAGCAGGACCAATCCCAATTAAATCAACCCAGACAGGGCTTTGTCAAGCCAAGACTTAAAAACCTTTAGGGATGGAGATTACACCACCTCCCTAAGTAACCCATTCCAGTACTTCACCACGCTCGTAGGCTATGTCTAGACTGCAGGCTTCTTTCGAAAGATGCTCTTTCGAAAGCATCTTTCGAAAGAGCATCTTTCGAAAGATCGCGTCTAGACTGCACACGGATCTTTCGAAAGAAAAATCCGCTTTTTCGAAAGAGAGCACCCAGCGAGTCTGGATGCTCTCTTTCGAAGACGGCCTCTTTACATTGAAGAACGCCTTCTTTCGAAAGAGGAACTTTCGAAGGAAGGCATTCTTCCTCGTGAAACGAGGTTTACCGCCATCGAAAGAAAAGCCGCATTCTTTCGAAATAATTTCGAAAGAACGCGGCTTGAGTCTGGACGCAGGGGAAGTTTTTTCGGGAAAAGGCTACTTTTCCCGAAAAAACCCCTGAGTCTGGACACGGCCCTAGTGAAATAGTTTTTCCTACTATCAAACCTAGACCTCCCGCACTGTAACTTGAGACCATAGCTCCTCGTTTTGTCATCTGTCACTACTGAGAACAGCCTCTCTCCATCCTCTTTGAACCTCCCTTAAGGAAGTTGAAGGCTGCTATCAAATCACCCCTCACTCTTCTCTTCTGCAGACTAAATAAACCCAAATCCCTCAGCCTCTCCTCACAGGTCATGTGACCAGCCCCCTAATCATTTTGGTTGCTCTCCACTGGACCCTCTCTAATGTGTCCACATCCTTTCTCTAGTGGCAGGCCCAGAACAGGACGCAATACTCCAGATGTGGCCTCTCCAGAGCTGAATAAAGGAGAATAATCACTTCTCTAGATCTGCTGGCAGTGCTCCTCCTGATGCAACCTAATATTCCATTCACCTTCTTGGCTACAAGGGCACACTGTTGACCCATATCCAGCTTCTCATCCACTGTAATCCCCAGGTCCTTTTCTGCCAAACTGCTGCTTAGTCATTCAGTCCCCAGCCTGTAACAATGCTTGAGATTGTTCTGTCCCAAATGCAGGATGCTACACTTGTCTTCTGGAACCTCATCAGATTTCTTTTGGCCCAAACCTCTAATCTATCTAGATCACTCTGGACCCTATCCCTGCCCTCCAACATATCTACCTCTCTCCCTATCTTAGTGTCATCCTCAATCTTTTTTTGAAATAATGTGCAGCTGCCATTATTCTAATGAAGCATGGGAAATTCAAATCCTGGCTTCATTTGCAATTTTGATCTAATTTACATCCCTCTTTCAAAAGAGGAATGTAGTTTAGACATGCCCTCAGTCTCACTACATGGCCAGTCCATATCCTTTTGTGACTGTACATAACTTGGATGATATTATTGACACAGTTTCTTGCATTCAAATCATCAATAGTAACATGCTGCAGCCTTCTTACACCAACCATGCATCTTTCCATTGCTCTTTGGATGGTTTGCAGCTTTAATTCTTCTGTAAGCACCGTGTTCCAGTTTTGCAGCCATACAGCACTACTGGAAGGATACTGGTGTTAAGGAGATGGGCTTTCGCCATGGTGGAAAGTTTGGGCTCAACAAAAACACTGTGCAGACTCTGAAAGGCAATCCAACCTGACCTCCTCCTCCTGCTCAACTCCGGGACCAATTCGTTGTCCAACTGCAACACTTGTCCAAGATATACATATTGATCCACCAGCTCGACAGACTGTCCATCCAGCTGCATGACGTACTCTGAATGATATGTGTTTTTCATCCACTTGATTTTTCCAGTGTGGATGGTCAGGCCAATCTCCTTTGCATTCTTTCCAATTTCAATGAGGAGACTTTGCAGTGTTTCAGGTTTCAACGCAATTAGAACAATGTCATCTGCAAAAAGGAGCATCTGAAGAACCTCGCCATCAATCATAAATTCATCTTTAACATCAGTCTTCCACAGGGTGTCTTCTAAGATGCTGGCAAACAACTTCAGTGAACAAACATCCCCCTGCTTTACACCTCGCTTAACTTTAATGATCAAGGGATCATCAAAAAGCGTGATTTCTGTAGTTGTGTCCATCAAGGAATGTTATATGTTTCTCACATACACAGGAGAGATGCCCTGAGAAAGGAGAGCATTTAAAGTTGCATTTTGTTCCTCTGAATCAAAGGCTTTTTTGAAGTCAAACAACAACAAGCATAATGGGATCTTGTCTCTCTACACCTTTCGGCCATCTAACTCATAAGTCCGTTTAATGTTTCTGTAAATTATGTGTAACTGTGTTGGCTATTTTAGAGTAGTAATTGGTGGTTACTATATTTTGAGAATTCAAAATGTTTATTTTTTTCACACATGATAATGTCTTAAAATGTTCTTTTAATAGGCATTGTTCGAATATATTTTTCATCATGAAAATGACGTTAAGAATGTAAGTAATTCATATAAATACATTGTATTTGTACTAAGTCTTATTCTGTCATGTCTGTCAGGTTTCAGATGAACTAAGGCTTCTAGTATTACTTCAGTTCTTAGGATAGAAAAATTGCATGTTTAAGAAAATTCTTGTTACAAGCATGAAAAAGTCATAAGCACTAAAATTTTAAATGCGTTTATTTTCAAAAGTAAAAATAGCATAGGAACATCATAGAAGTAAGATGGAGGATACCTATGAGCAGGACCCCTCTACAGAATTTGGTGCAGCACTGTCCCTTGCCATAAAATTGCACTCCACAATCTCAACTTTCATCAATGATAAAAATGAAGTTTCTATCCCTACATTAGATTGTAAAGATAACCTACCTCCATGTGAGCCAAGTGCAAACCCATACCTGTCTGATTCAACAGAAAGTATGAAAAAATTTCCCTGACAGGGCCAAGGCTGTTTGAATTTTATTGCTACAGAAAGTCATTCCACATACCTCTTTCCCCGCCCCAAAGATACCACTGAATTCAGCTTTTGTTGTTGTTGTTTGTTTGTTTGTTTGTTTTGGCAGGGGAGCTGTAGGATTCACCATTTTACTGCAGCCAAATGCAACATATTGTCTTTTCTAGGGTTGCCAGATGGTTTCAACAAAAATACTGGACACACTTCACATTACATCACAATCTGCATTACATCTTATTTAGAAAATACCGGACATTTGTATTTTCTCAATTTGTTTCCTGAACAGAAAGCTCAAGTACTGGACTGTCAGGTTCAAAACTGGATACCTGGCAACCCTAGTCTTGTCTCCCGTACCTGCTGGGGCCTGCTTGCAGCTGTTTTTTAATCTGCATTTTTCTCCATAAAGAGGAATTAATTGGTTAGTGTGTGCTCCCCTGGTTGTATAGAACCATCCAAGTGTTGGGGTGAGTGAACCAGAGCTAGAGTTTGTTTTGCACTCATGGTGTGGCAGGAGCTAGAAGCATGCTGTGGGTATGTAGGTGGCCTGGAAAATACAGAGCATTTGGGGCCTTGGGAAACAAGAAACTCCACAAGCTTCTCCCCACCCCCTCC